GTTTTGCCCACCTGTTTTGTTGATTTGGTCATATTTCGTTGATCTTTGTGCTTCTACCATGGGTAGGTAGGGTACATTGTACCACCTGGTTTAATCTTCTCTGTATAGCTTGACAAGGGTTCCGTCAAAAATAGACCCCCCGTATTCTCAGTGGAGTGAGAGCCAGTTCTGGGCTGGTTCTGAAAAGTGCAGTGGCACATCTGCTGGAATCACAAGTATTACCTAGGCCACATCGCAGCATCAAGGATTATTCCCACTTTATAGATTGCAGGAATGTTATTGCCCTTGTGTTAGTACAATATCAAAGTGTCATGTTTTCCTCATAAAACAAATAATACTTTCATATAGTTATTTATATGGTTAAACATATATATTGTTTAAAGTTGTATTTCATAGTTATCGGCTAAAGGCAAAGCAGAGGTCTCTCAAGAGAAAATCTCGCCTCCCGCGTCTAGGGCCATACCTTACAGATGCCACACATGCTAAAAATCCTGGGTGTTTTTACTTGGAAATGGAGGATATTTTGGAAATAATCTAAATTTGCTGTGTTCAACATAGTTTATACTTCTCTTTCTGCTTTCCTCCATCCTCCACAATTGTCTTAACCTCCCTCTGTCACTTCCTCTCTACATTCCTACAATGAAATGTAGGAATGTAAATCTGTCAGTGGTAGAGAGGTGTTATCTGCAAAAGCCATCAGTCTGACATCAGCTCCCTGAGTGACGCCTGTCACATCTCCCTGCTTAGCCCAAGCTGATAGTCAACAAACTCCTTAAAAGTCTGGGTAGCTGGGAACGAAATAAACCTGCTCGTTTTTGTAAGGAACAGAGATTAGATTGAGCTATGATAAGCCAATACTGAGGAAAAAAACATCCTCCGCCTCAATCACAGTGCTGTCACTGCAAGCTTCTTTCTCTAGCTCTCTTTGTTTTCCTGCCTGCCTGGCTGCCCTTACTGCCTTTTCTATTTTCCTCTTCTCTCCATTGTTATTTATCACAGCCTTTCTCATATGTCACCACAATTCTGCCCCTGCTACATTTTTTTCAGAGGAGATTATTTGCCTTTTTCAATTGCATGCTCTTTGTCTTTCTCAGTCCTCTGTCTTTCTTTCACATCCCCTCCCTCCCTCACACTCTCCCAGGAGTTTGCAGTCGGCAGACAGTGTAATTTAGATCAATAGCTTAGAGCATCCACCCTGAGCCACAGCATGCTCCTCCACAGTCGGCTGATGGCTCAAGAGAAGAGAGGAGAAGAGAAGCTCAAAATAGGGGAGCATAATAAAACCTGAAGATTTAGATGCATTATCTTCATAGTTCCAGAGTGTGGCTATTCCTGAGGCTCTTCATAGTTATCTCCCCCATTTGGCAACCTGATCCTGTCTGTCCCGGGCCTCTCTTTAACAGGAATACATGTCACACCATGAGGAAAACAAGCTGACACAGAAGAACTAAAGATGACTAATGATGGCTAACACTAGGCATCAGGGATTGTGTAGCTTACACACAAACATAAAGAGCTTCGCCAGCGCAGATGTGTTTTTGTAAGAAACAATATTCATTAGCATAAATTAATGATGAATTAAAACAGAAAGCATACAGACAGACCAATAGGCCGTTTGCAAGCAATAGACTGGCAAACAAACGATAAATACAACAGTGAGACACAGTTTCTATCTCCCTGTGGCTGTCCAAGCATTTGGAATAAATTGGCTGGCTCATTAGGATTTATGTCCGCTATCCAAAACCATCTCAATTCCTTTCTACTTTACATTTATCAAATGTCAGTTTGCTATAATGTAGCCCACTGCTTCATAATTCAGTTCACTTCTGAACTGTCACAGGGAAGCTGTAATACACAGCAGTAAACCACTAAGGGCTAGTGTGTCCTGCTCCAGTGAATTCTGGATGAATGGTGTTAAGTATTGCTGACTAAATTAGGATGGCATCGAGAGGCGTGCAGGACAAGCTGCATGTTAAGTGAAATTCTGTCTTTTCTCTGCATCCTCATAATAAGGACATGCTGTGGTTGGTTTGTGATTGCTGGCTGTGCTATATTTATATTTCAGATTTTACGGTAACAAAAATCAGCATGATCACAAGGTTTTCACCAATCACAGAGCAGCAAAAGCTACAACCAGATCTTCCCCAAGGCATCTGCAGAGCACTGTTGAAAAGGAATGAATCTCTCTGGACAAAGTGTGCCAGTTGGCAGAGAATAGAAGACGATGAATTATGATGATTACTGTTGCATTTACTTACTCTATTCCATTTTGTTCTACAATGATTTACAGTGAACCTCTAGAGATTCTGTTGTAAACATACATAAGTTTCAGTCAGGAGCCTATATATTTTCAGAGGAGGATGAAACTGCTAAGGTAGCCATGGGACACTTACTGTAACACACCCATGCGGTATAATTAGTTGCTTGCTGCTGATTCCCTCAGTGTGCAGCAACAGAATTCTCAAAATATAGAACAAATGCCGAGATATTTAGTTCACACATCACATTCGAAAAGCTGGAAACAGAAAATCTTTGGCATCTTGCCTGAAAAATGACTTAACACTTAGAATTAACTAATAATTTCTACCTTCCATCGACTTCCATTTTTTTTCCTGATCTTGATAAGTTTTATTATGTGATAACATTTTATGTGAAGTAATTATTTCAGTCCAAAAGTTATTTTTTATGTATTATGACATGCTTTGGCGACATTTTTGTGGACAAACGGTCCCAATGAATTGATTTGAAGAGACCGAGAGAGACTTGACACAGCGTGACATTCTTGCCATGAATATGACCGGACTGTTTCCTTTTTTTCTAGTTTGTTTTATGATAATAAACTCAATTCCCAACTGTGACTAAAGCTGAGAATTGGTTTAGAGAAGTACATTATTTTTACAGCCAAGCTGTATTTCAAATAGTAGCACCACGTGATGCTGAAATACTGAAACAATTATACAGTCTGTCTCCTGATAAACCTGTCATTGTCGTCCTTCATAAACAGATTTAGAGCTTGAGCAAAGAGCCATAATGGAATAGCAGACAGGATTGATAGGTGATATTGCCCCAGGGAGCTGTCTGGAACGACTCCTGGAAAGTGGAAACTAGTGTTCAGCGCAGACTCCTCAGCTTAAAGACAAGAACATTCAATATTAGTCCACTCAGTATGGATAAATCAAGCAGTTATTGCCTCACAATGTCCTCATGGTATGCAGGCAAGGAGGGGGGAATGAAGAAAATTAAGACTGACAGAGTAAGAAAGGAAGAGGGAGTTTCATAAATGAAAGTTAAGTGTTTTTGTAATTGTTTGCCCTCAGATTTATGGTATTGATTGCTCCCTCTCTATTACCAATTATTTAAGCTGTAACCAAATATGTCACCTCATTTAATGACCTAATCATGAAAGGTACATTGGAATAGTTAGACATTTTGGAGATGCTGCAGTCAACTCTCATGTCTGTATGTTAAGTATGGAGCTGGAGCAAGGAGGTGATTAGCTTAGCTTAACATAAAGGCTAGAAGCAGGTGGAAAACTGGTGGCATGGCTCCATCTAAAGTTCACAAATATGCACACTGTAAAACATTTTAGCGGTTAAGTCTGTTAAGTCCCTTGAATCAAATTAGTTTTCTGTGAAATTGGGCTATAAATTTACTTATGATTTGACTGGCTGGTTCGACTTAAAAACATAAGTGTCCTTGCTGCCTTCAAAATGTGAGTTAACTGAACTAAACTTGTAAAACTAACTGAATTAAGTTCAATAACTTATATATTTTTCTTTTCAATTAATGATAAAAGATTCCACTAAATTCATGTATGATGTTTTACAGCATACCAAGACCTCTAAAGCTCGCAAATGAACATGCTTCTTGGTGAACATCAGCTCCTTTGAAAACCACAAATAGTTGTTTCACATTTCTAAATAAACAAATGAGATTTAAAATCTTAATTAGCAAGCTCTAGAGGTGTTGGTAGGTGTATTTTCAAACTTTGGAGAGAGCCAGGCTAGCTATTTCCTCCTCCTTCCTGTCTCTATGCCAAGCTAAGCAAATTACTTCCTGCTGCTCCATACTTTCAGTAAAGCCCCCGAAATCTCTGTAATATTTCACTACAACATAAATATTCATGATTATACAATCAGGTTTGAAAAAAAAAGAAAAAGACATAGTTAGGTCTAATTTATTAAAAGTGTTACACTCAACAACTAGGGTGGACTGAGTGGTTGTGGTTCGATCAGATTTGATTGACAGTCCTGGCATCATAAGCAATCAACCCCGTAATCAAAATTTGATTCAAATCTATCCTTCATTATTAATGACTTGGTGTATCTCGGTCCTTCTGTTGTAGCTCCTTTTGTCAGCAGAAACATTTTTCTCTCCCAACACATTAGGGGATGCAGAGGTGGATCCACCAATTTGGACCTGCTGGTGTTTGGTCTGTCATTAATTATGTCCTGCTGTCATTTTGTAGCATCATCATTTATTGTGGTGGGTCCTCATACCAGCCAGCATACAGATTTGTGCGCTCTAATGAGAGGGGTGACCTCAGTGACCTGCTCACTGTTTGAAATAAAGATGAAAACATTCCACTGAAGCTGCAACGTTTGTTTTGATAAATCAAACAAGAACCTTTCTTTACGTTTTCTTACTGCCAGAAGTAAGCCATTTTAAAATTATTTTTTCAAGCATGTTTGTCCTTGTTAAAATGCACCTTGGAGGAGGACACACAGAACTGACCTTGAATTGTTTTTCAGGTGCACACCTCAGAAAGAAATCAAAGTTCCTCAGCAGGAGTCCGCAAAAGAGGATTTCTGCATTAACTGAAGTCATTGAGTAGCAATGAAATGCCCCATCATTGATTGTTTTTCACATCCTCACCTCTTGCAGGTGAGTTCATCCTCTAGCGTCAGCTTCTTGTTTCTCTGGGAAGTCTGCTTGATGATCAGCACTGGCACCATGTAAAGCTGGAGCGGCTCAGCACTCACCTCAATCTCACCGTGGATAAACACTCACCAGGTTCACATACCGGCTGAGCTCAGCCACTGGGACATTCACCAGGTCAGAGGAAATGGACAGAATTTAGGGCACAACAAAATAACACATAAGTTGTACTTTAAAATGTGTTGTTTGTGTATGTAGACATAAAAAGGTGGCTGGAGAACGTTTGTAGTCTTATCCTTTATAGTATATTGTATGGGAGCTATAATCACCTTACATTCATGTTAGTTACTTTGGATCTCAAAATGTCAAAATGTTTCATACTAACTATATAAATATAAGTGTCATCATAATTCACTTCTCCAGCCAACTTGTTTACTGGGCTAAAAGTTTGTTTTTGTAGTTTACTGATTGGCTCATCACCATTTCATTTATTGAGTAATTTTCTCCTTAAATAAACCAAACAGACTCAGCGACAGCCAGTTCTCTATAAAGGAGAAGAAACAAACCTAGCCTACAAACAAACTTGACAGGGTTGTGCATTTAGCCGTATTCTAGTAGTAGAAGTCTGAGTATCTGTGAATGAAAATGTACAAACTTTTTACAGTAGCCTCTGAAGCCTACAAGGGTGCTTACACATTTGTTTTTACATGTTTCACAAGTGTTGATTTCTTGTGCAGCTAAGTCTGGGAGCAGCCCAGAGCCATGGACTGCAGAAACCCATTCTGTCCAACAGGAACTTCCATGGCTGCCTGGAAAACCTACTGTACAACGACCTCAACCTGATAGACCTGGCTAAAAAGAAGAACCACCAGGTCTCTGTAGTGGTAAGTTATTCTGTTTCAGCATCTTTGGAACGTCATTATGGAAATCTACCATTCAGCATTTATCAGAAGGACAAATAGATGACTGTGGAGAAATGTTAATTTAGAGGGGGGGAGGTACAGAGTTGAGATGTCGTAAGGGTTAAATCAGGTGGCCATGGGCTTCAGAAGTCAAAGTCCTGTTTATTTTCCAGTAGACCAGTGATTCCAAATTTTTTAGGCTTGTCACCCTTTGTAGCAAAACAGTGCCTGAACAGTTCAACTAGTGTTTTCGCTTTAGATTGTTTATTTTTGTTTATTATTTTATTATTTATTTAAGTTTAGTAATGAAAAGATTTATTTAAGTTTAGTAATGAAATTCTCCAGTATTTTGAAAGTAAATGTTTGAGAAATGTGAGGAAGAGTGAACTTGGTTTTGAGTGTCTGTGACCCCTTGGAATGGGTACAAGGCCACGAACGTTTTAAGGAACAAAACATCTGTTTAGCACTCTAGAAATTCATGGAGGGATGGGTTAAGTTACAGTTACTGCTTGGTGAAACTCTATACATTCAGCAGCTAAATTCAATTCAAATTTGGAGCTCTGAAACAATTTGAAATAATTAAGTAACCATGGGCACTTTATGTTTTAAATTTTTTTCTGTGAAGATTTTTAGTTATCTAGGGAAATCAAGGAGGTTAAATCAAGGCCAACTGGATTTGGTTTAAGATACTGGAAGACATTTTGCATCTCATGCAAGAGGCTTCTTTAGCTCTAATTGACAGGCAGACCAGCTATTTAACCTCTGTGGGGTCGTTATCAAGGTGATGGATACAACTTGGTTTGTTAGTGCTCCTGGCTGTTGAAACGACTGTCATTATGGACATAGAGTCACCTGAGGTCAAGTCTGAATGACTGTCGACACCGTCACGTGAGAGTTCATCCTGGGAAGGGATGAAAGGACTGATAAGGATTGTTGTAGAGTTGTAGTCAAGACCGCCCAAACTGAGACCAAGTCGAGACCAAGACCGAGGGAGGGTGAGACCAAGTCAAGACCAAGACCAGTTCCCCACATACATGAATAAAATGTGGAACGGAGATCATATGTAGGTACTACTCAAATTGATCTGAAAGATCCACATTCCCGTTAAAACACGCACATACAAACACTAAGAGCTGAAATCAACTTAACCATCTTTCAGCACTCCTTTTCATGCTTCCCATCGCAGAGAGGGGTGACAGTCGTTAACGGTAACAACACATTTTTAATTAGGGTTATTGGCTGCATTTAAAGCAATACGTTTTACATCCAATCAAAGTTGAGATGTTAACAAATAAATCAGACAGTGCACAAGTAATTTATTGATATTTCCAAAGTTATGGTCTTGACTGGTCTTGAAATAAAATCCAGAGTCCTCAATGTCCGAGACCGAGACAAGACTGAGTACTAATGCTGTCGAGTCCGAGACGAGACCAAGACCATCAAAAAGTGGTCTTAAGACCGGTCTCAAGACCAAGACCGTTCTCGAGTACTACAACACTACATTGTTGACCTGAAAAGAGCGTCCCTTGACCTGAGGAGTTGGCCCGTCTGTGTTGAGCCATGTTTATGCAGTGGTTGTTTAGTTCTTCCTGGATCTTGTGGCTGTTTTCACAATAGTCCAGTTTGGATATCCACAAGCTTTAAGCTTCAAGCTTTATCCTTCAGGTGTTTATGCTCCTTGTCTTGGGCTTGGGCACTTGGTTGGTATATTTTCAGATTGGTGGTTCAGGGTCCTGATAACCCCTAGCTGATGCTCCAGTGGATGGTGAGAGTCAACGAGCAAGTGTTGGTCTATGTGTGTGGGTTCTTTAATGTGGAGATGCCTGTCCTCTTCAATGTGTATGACAAAGTCCATGAAAGCCAAACTGTTGTTGCTGACATCCTTTCATAGTAACCTCATGTTACTGTCCACCAAGATGATTTGTGGGGGTGGTGATGGAGCAGTGGATAAGACACATGCCTTTGGTGTGAGAGACCCGGGTTTAACTCCCACTGTGACACATCCACGAATGTGTTCCTGAGCAAGACACGAAAGCCCTAGTTGCTTCAGAGGCATGCAACCTGACATATGTAGCACTTGAAAGTCGCTATGGATAAAAGTGTCAGCTAAATGAATTAATGAAATGTAATGTCATTTGTTCTGTAAAGGCCTGCCATGGGTTTTAAATTTTGACCCATGTGTTGTCTAGGGATGCAGCGATTACCGGATTTCACTATAAAACGTCACAGTTAATTAATCGTAAAGGCGCTGCTACACCGAGTATTTCTGTTGCACAAAACGAAACTGTGGCAACTTGCACATAACGAAAACAAAGTTAGACGAGCAGTGCACCAGCTTAAAGTGTCATGCTTATCAGAGGCTACTGCACACTCGCTAAACTCTGGCAGAGGGACCAAATTGTGAAGCTTTATTTCCACCAAAGAAACGGCTAAAGTCGGCAGTGTGGGAGAATTTTGGGTACACCAAGTCTGAACAGGGCGTTACTGAAGATGACGGATCACCTGTTCAAAAACTTGCCGTTAAACGTTTGCTGCTAAAGGAGCAAATGAATACCTAAATTAAACTTGACGCAGCACCTGCGGGATCACCACCCAGCGTTGCACGCCAAAGTAAAGGTAGGCCTAATACATTATATTAAATAATGTGGCAAGTTGGTAGGGAATTAAATATAAAATTATTGTATAGTGAGTTTTATGTGGCATTTGCTTGTCTGTTTTATGTTACGTCTTTTTATGTGGTGACATTGCACTTTGAGCTTCTTGCATATTCTTTTCCAATGTGGTTTTATACTGCAAATGGCTAATAAAGTTAATCTGAATAAACCAAGTGTAAAACACTAACATAACATCAGGAGCTTATAGACTTTCAGGACTATAGGCTACCAATTAACTGCATTTCAGTTAACACTACACTCATTTTCACTAATACTTATATGTATGGATGAGCGTTGATAACAGTAACAGTTCAGTTTATTCCCCTCCCTTTCCCAATTTCCCCTGGGGGATAAAAGTTAATATTCCACTTATATTAATAATACTTACATAGTATAGAAATAATTGTTATGTAATTAATTATTAAAAACCGTGAGTATTTCTCTGACAATAATCGTACCAACAAAATCTGTAATCGTTGGATCCCTAGTGTCATCCACATACCAGTAACTTAGTGCTGTCCCTCTGAAAGAGTTCAGGGCTCTGCTTTCTGCTTTCTACTTCTTCTGTGTGGATGTTGACCATCAAGATTTGTCTCTGAGGGTAAGTGCTAAAAGATGAAACTGACTAGAAACAAGTGACATCGCAGAAGTTTCTTATTCTATTTGCATGATATATATATTCAAGTTATATTTATTTTTTATTATGAATTTTCATTATTACAGTTTGGTCATGTATCACTGCATACTATGATGTCACTAAACTGTGTACTGTGTGTCTCCTGTATATTGACTGGTTTATATAGTGGTACTGTTTAAGGTGAGATAACATACATTCAGTACATTGTGTTGTTTACAAGAATTTGGTATATCTACCATTATACTGCTGTTGCATTTATAGTGAACCATTTATTGAGCAATTTGGAAAAAATGTAACATTCAAATTAGTTTCTCAGTTCATATTCTTTTTTGGCATTATAATCAAATGCTTTTTATAATGATAAACTTTCAGACTCTTTGTGCTCATCACTGTCAACGGCCACTGTCATTATTATTTTCATTATCATTATTTTCACCATCTGCATCATCATCCTCTTTATTTTTAAACCCGCCATCATCATCATTGCCATTAGCATTGTCGTAATCTCCTTCATTATCATCACCAATGTCATCACTTGCAAATTTTGGAGTTACAAAGCCCAAAGCAAGAAACTAGAGAAGAAAAGCAGAGAATTGAGGAAAGGATGTAGAAAATAGAATGAGGAGAAGTGAAGATATAAAGAGACAGGGAGGAGGGAAAGAGAGAAACTGGCACTGATCCATATTTGTAATCATAGAAAAGTTTATTTAATATGAATTTTATGCTTGCGTGATGATGGTAATCAATGTACAATTTGTGCCTCACACTGTGCTGAGAGACTTCCCTGAATACATTCTAAAAGACACTAACCTATATCTTTATACATTTAGATTTTTGTGATGCATTATGGAAATGTGGATTTAAATCATGCTATTGCCTTTGAACTTTGGATCGAATTGCAACATTCCTGAAGGCCATTGTTCAAGTCTGAAATCAGTTTATCCATTGTATCATATCTATTTACCGATGCCATGCTGTGATTAGGAGATGTAAGACAAATAGCGAAAGTGAGTTCAAACGCTGTGTGACCCTGAAACGTCAGGTCTTCTAGCTTATTTTAGCTGCTCAGCTAATATCAATATGGTAATACAGGTGTCCTTTTCAGGGAGGTGCTGAGGAGACCCCTGTGACATCGAGTCAAACACAGTCAACCTCTGCAGATGAGAATTCATGTTTTATTATCTCTTTCATAATCATTTCTCTATCTTCCTTCCTCCTGTCTTTCTCAGGGCAATGTGACCTTTTCTTGTGCTGAACCA